TTTTTGGGGGGTTTCTGAAGCTTTTTTTTATTTTAAAGTTGTAATTGGTTTCATCCTGTGATTGTACTGTATCAGGCCACTCACTCTCTCAACATTAGGCAAATCTGAAGCTAATGAATGCATTAAAATAAATAGAAACATTACAATAGGACCTGCATTTTGTCTAGTCTCTGGTAATTATGTAAAAGCATAAATTTGGCTAAATGTATTCCCAACAGCAACTCAAGTTGAAAGAAGGTAATTTTCTGAAATTTATGTCTTTTTTAATTTGAGTACTAAAAGAATTACATTTATGAATTCATATGAACTTGAATTTGAGGAATGATTCCCAAAAATTTTACAGAATGCTTTATTACACAATTTTAATTTTAAAAATTATCTAATTTTTAGCAATACATCAATATTAATTTTTGAAACTGGAGATTTTAAACATCGAATTTTGACTGAAAACCTTTATTTATAACTCAGAAGAATACAAAAAATCATTTTTAATGGATTTTTAAGACCAAAGATTATTTTCTGAATAATGATATTTATTTCTAAAAAAAATAGCTTATTTAAAAAAACCCAAAAATTCTAAATAGAATGTTTAGACTTGAACACTTCATGGAAAATTGCAAATATTTTTCTAGGAATTTTTTCAAAGTGTGCAAAAAAATACCCCAGCACAGAAGACTTCCATCACTTTTGAAATTCAGACCACTCTTTTCCTTTGCACATATTTGTCTTTGCCAAGTTTATTCCGGCAGAAAAAAAAGGCAATTTGTCACTGAGGCGGGGGAAGCATGAAGAAGCAATTTTGCGGTCGGCTAGCGCACATTTTTTGCACGAGTTCCATTTAGAAGTGGGAGGAAGTCATAACGTTTTGCTTCCTGTTTTTCCTCGCGAAGCGTGACTAGTTGTTGCTCGCATTTATTTTTTTTTTGGCACGCCAAAAATTAATACAGAAAAGAAGAACGTCGGTCGGTTGATGATGGGGATTTTCTGCCGTGAGCAGGGGGGGATTCTAATTGGCTACACCTTGGGTGAATGGGAGAGGGTGGGTCAGTGAACCTTTCTTGTGCCAAAAAATAAATAAAATTCTGCAACGGAAGAAGGCAGAAATATATTGAGAGAGAGAGGGTCTTGTATTGATTTGGAATGCACAAAAGTTCATTGCCCTGATATGCTTTGCTGTGTTTTTTTTTTCTCATGGGGTTTTTCTGAAGAAGAGAAAATTCCAGGTTCTTCATCAGGAGTTTGATGACCTGGCGCAGATTTGATGCAAAAATGGCTTTTTTTGGCAGTGCAAAAAATGAGAAAAAAAAACGAAATCAAGCTATCCTCAATCCCTTCCTTATGATCCTATTCATTCTATGGATTCTCATCTCTAATATTTTTCCCAGTAACTCATTGAAGTTACCAAAATATCTTTTAGAGAGACTAAGAATTTTTGTGGCATTTGAAAATGAAATAAATGAGCATTTTTTCAAAAGTTGAACAGAGATTTCTGTATTTTTTTGGAAGATACATATAGTCTAGAAAAATATTTTTTGACCTCAACACTTTTATATACTCTTGAAACACATTTTCTTCAGCTTATCTGCAAAAGCTCTGGAAATTGAGCTTTCTTATCAAAAGTGTTTTAAAGGAAAAAAATGCATTCTCCAAAGTTGAAATTGTTAAAAAAAAAGTGAGGCATGTGGTTATTTTTGAGATTATCAACCAAAGCTTCTGTTCATTTCTGCTGGTAAGAAGACCACTCATCTGAAAAAATTNAGTCTCATTATATAAGTAAAATAAAACTTAATTTTAGGCCTTTGGATTTTTGGGGCTGTTCTGATAAAATCTTAAACTACACAAATATTGTGCATATTTCTAAATAATCTGCTTGATTTCTGCTATCCACTGTGATCCTTCTGAATTGCATCAATATACAGTATTTGTTTCAAGGATGACTGAGTTTGCAATTTTAACATCCATTGATCTTTCTTTTGTGGAATACTATTGAAATCACTAAACACAAAGTGATTAAAACAATATAAAATGAAATACAGTGGCCCCCGCCTAACAGACCTCCCGTGTAATGGATTTTTGCCAAACAGACCAGCTCTGCAAGCAGTTTTTCCTCCTGCCCAACAGACAAAATCTGCCAAACAGACTTCTTTTGGTTTAAAATTAGTGTTGAAAATTAAAATTTTTAATTATTTATGTAATTGAATTTGTGTAAAGGACTTTTTGTCTAACAGACTCGTCCCTTGCAAGAATCAAGTCCGTTAGATGGGGGTTGACTGTATGCATAACTTCCTTCATAATGAATAGGAAAATGTGCTTTTTCTATAAATTCTCCTTATAAAGTTTATTCTCATAGAAGTGTGGGCTGTGCTTCAAAAATGTTTAATTATTCCATACAGTCAATACCTGCACAACAGCCTCCTGCACAACAGACTTTGCTCAACAGACTGCCTCTGGGAGCAGTTTACCCATGCAACAGACTAAATCCACATAACAGACTTCTGTTGGTTTAAAATTTGTGGTAAAAAGTAAAAATTTCAATTTTTAATAATAGAATTTACACAAAAGACTAGTCTTTTGCACAAATTAAGTCTTTTGTGCAACGTATTTTCTTGTCAAATGACAAGAACAATTTTTCAGCACTTTCAATGTAAATATCTGAAAGAGTGATTATTAAACCTTTACAGAAGTGTCAATTGTCTTTTTTTTTTCAAAACATAATCTTATTGCTGAATTGAACAGCAAGCTTTATTTTTTACTATTCAGCATTCACAAGGTTAAAGCAACATTCCCACATCCAAACCAAGTCCCCTCTCCACCCACATTTATCCAAACACATTCCATCACATCAGAATGGAAAACAGAGAAACAAGCTGTACATGGATATTAAAAGAAAATAAAATACATCTCAAAATTTACAATTGCCCAAATGATGTAAATACATAAACTGTCTTCCCTTATTCCCAGATAACCAAAACAAAATATCAGTAATAAAAATTGCAGCATATGGAAATTATTGAACCCAAATTAAAGCACAAAGTGTTGAGCCTTGATACGTTTTAGTTGATTAAACAATTTGCAGAGTATCTTTTCTTATAAATCATGTAAAGTTAACAGTTTATCTTGGTCTTTCAAGATTTTGAAAAGAGTCTTTTCATTTAATTTCAAGAGTCCCAAATCTTTTTGAAGCTCATTTCTGTAGCTGTGGAATTCTGGGAATAAGAAAAGAAGGAGCTATGGTAATGCACCTTTCATTTTAAATTTTATTACAAATGCAAAATAATTCATATGATTTTTTGTACATGCTTCCAGGAACAGAAAAAAGTGTAAAATNGCATTTATTCTGTTGGAGACATTTTCTTGTTTTTTTCTCTCTGTTTCTATTGAGATGAGATTTGTTCGGAGAATAAGGAGGGAGAGAGAGAGAGATTTGGATCAGAAGGAGCATAAATCCCTGGCTCTGGGCAGTTGGCTTATCCATCACACAAATCTCTTCTTCTGTTGCAAGGAAAGCATGTGCACAAGCCAAAGCAAACAACTGGGTTACCTGTTTGTTTTCTGTTCCCCCCCCCTCAACATTGTACAGGGTGTCTCAAAAAATTAATTTTGCTTGGGACTGAATTTTTCATCCATTGTTCCTCAAAGTTATTTATTTTCTGAACAAACTTGTTTCTTAGAAAGCCATATGTTCTTTTTTCTCTTTTGGGAATTAAAACTCTGAAAATTTCAGGAAAAGTGTCAGGGATGCCTTTTGTCAGAATGAAGAAAACTTCAAGATATTTACAGTCATTCCAGTTTCTGATATAGAAAAGTTACAGTATTTGTAAAACATCTGCTGTATGAAAAGGTAACTATTAGATATAATTTAAAATTTTGAATGTGGACAATTGTTGACTAGAGTCAGGAAAATTTCCTCCTAAAAATATGACAAAGGCTTGAAACATTTTATACACTCCAGTCTGTTATATTTTAATGTTCAATAAAATCTAGGTGTGACAAAAACTGCAAAAATTAATTGCAATAAGCCCAGAAAACTTTTCTGAATTTTCTTTAAATTCAAAGTTTTTGTTTGAACACCCTGTTGAAAAAAACAGGATAGTATCATGGGATGAACTTTATCAAAAATGATGGAAATTTGAAATCCTGAAGATGTCCCTCATGATTCTCTTCTTTTCATTCATTTATTCTGTGAAGCTTCTTTTTTTTTGCCCCCAGGCCAACAAATCACTGTAGAACCTCAGAGACAAACAACCTGGTGAACTCAATTTCCATATTTCGTTGCTTGTCTCAAATTTTACTGCTTGGAGGATGCAAAACAATGCTGTGGGCAGCGGATAACATTCATCTCAGCTGAAATGACAGCTCAATTGTGTGTCAACCATTTTTTATTTATTTTTCCTGTCCCTTTGACAGCAACTTTCTTTTCTGGAAAAGAGTGTCATGAGTGCCCAGTATTTGCATACAATTTAAATGGTAATAATTTTTGATCAAAAGATTCTTTTGAGGCTAAAAATTTGTTTTTTCCTCCAACTGAATAGTTTCACTGCAGGGAACCCCTGGAAAACCCATCATGAGGATGAGGTTTTCAATCATCACTAGGAAGCTTCCCTTAAAATCCATGACTCTGCATTAAATCATCAGGGAGCTGTTTGTTACACTTCAAGATCAGCATCTTGGGAAAGGAATATAGAAGGTTATTTACTGAGCTGGACTTTCTTTGTTGGCCTGAGTTCCTTTCATTTGAAATTCCAGAAACCTCAAGTGAAAGGAGTAAAGTACAGTACTTTTATTTACAGGGGTGGTAAAATTTAATGCAGCCTTTAAAAGAAACTCATTTGCCTGAAGTTGAAAGGATTCATTCTCTTTTTGCCCCCTCCATTCTCATTCCATTGACCCCAAGAGTGTCTTTTCATGAGACTGATTTGCATATCAGTGTATGGAATCAAGGTTTCATGCATGTCCAGTTGTTTATGAAATGGTTTTTCTCTCTCTCTTTTTTTTCTGTAGCCTCAAGAAGGAGGACATCAAGTCTGACATGTGAGGTGTGCATGGGGGACTGCAGCAGTAATAAGAGGGACAGCATGATTGAGGAATGTCCTCCTGCTTTCCCTGACAGCTGTGCAGCAGTTTACAACAGGAATGGTGAGTTGAGGCATTCATTACCTAAAAAACAATCTTTAAGTGGTGCCATGGATGCAAATAAGGCTTCCAATCTGGTTTTAAAAATTTTTAATGATTCTCAAGGGGTTTTATCACAAGTTTTTACATATTCCCCTATATATGCAGTTTTTCTTGAGGAATGGTGAGTTGAGGCATTCATTTCCTAAAAAACAATATTTAAAGTGAGACCCCCAGATGTGGACATAATTGGGGCATCACGAGTGTCTCTATGTCGGATTGTCCCCAAGTCGAATCTTGTTTTCCCATAGACTTACATTGTATAATTTTTAATTGGTGTTTTATGGAAGAAACATTCTTCAGAATTTCATGAAAAAAAATTGTTGCCGCTTGAATTTAATTCAATGAATATCTTTTCAAACCATTAAGAACGTTTGGAACATTGAATAGCGTACCTCTGTACAATAAATTGAAAAGTTGGCATCTGGAAAAATAACATCCATGTCACAAAGAGAGGTGGAAGGAAGTCCCTCTGTGCTATAGGGCATTTTTTTAAATTAGCTGAATGGATGGGAAAATGATGGGAAAAGTACCAAAGAATTTTTCTTGCATAGATCTTAGGTTGGAAACATCTTTTTCTTGCAATTAAGCCTTATAAAAATCAATTTTCCTAAAATTTCTTTTGGAATTTTATCCTGCAATTTCCCCAGGTCGAGTCAGTGTCCTCATGTCGGGTCTTTTTTATGATTTTTTTCCTAAAAAATAAATGTCCCCAGGTCGAATCGTCCCCATGTTGAGGCGTCCGCATGTGGGGGTCTCACTGTATTACCATGGATGCAAATAAGGCTTCCAAGTTGGTTTTTAAAAATCTTTAATGATTCTCAAGGGATTTCATCACAAGTTTTTACATATTCCCCTATATATGCAGTTTTTCTTGGGAAATGGTGAGTTGAGGCATTCATTTCCTAAAAACAATCTTTAAATGGAAAATGTGAATATAATTTTCACCACCACACTGTTATCTTTTAGAAGCTTTTTTCAAAAGTTTCACATGATGTTCATCAACTCAGGATTGAATGTGTACAGTGAAATGTGGTCTTGAGTAACTCCAAAAATAGCTGACACCATGCACCAAGGTTCAATGGTCTTCTGCTCTGATTCTTGTGTGATCAAGCAGTGATTTATCACCAGCACCACCAAGAAAAGTCCCCTGCAATTGTCAGCTATCCATGCATCAAGCAAGGAATCTTCCCTCCTGTAATCATTGGTTTGGGCTTTGGAGAGAGGTCAGGGTGGAAAATATATATAGAGAGAGAGAATATACAAAAAATAAACCCATGGACTTTCTTAAAGTTTGTGTGCTCCATTTGATGAATTGTTGATACTAAGAGATGTTTTGATGAGAAGGTCTTTCTGATGGTCCCCTTGGTTTGCCATCAGGAGGCGTGGATTAGTTGCAATAATAAATGATCAATAGTCTGGACATGAATGAGGGCAATTTATGTTCCATGCACAGCATCTTTGCTTGGATAGTCATCAAAGGTTCATCAATCACCCTTGGGATTTTCCTTGCTGAGGGATATTTTCACATGACTCAGCATTTCTTGCTCCTGGATGATATCTTATTCCTAAAAAAAAAAAATACTCACCTGCTTCTGGAATCATGATTTTTTATATTTTCTTAGTTTTTTTTTTAAACATGTGGAAGGTGTAGAAGTGGTATATAGAGAAACCTAAAGGCAGAATTTGATTTGTGTTCAAACAGTGTGTTTTAATTTCTGCATTTTAAAATTCTGATGAAATCATTAGTTTTCCACCATCTTGAAGATTAAGAAACAGCTGAAAACCAAAGAAGGTTTATTAGAATGGCAATTGTTTTCTGTTTCTTATTTTTTCAAGTGTGATTCAGTTGAAAGTTTATCTGTTTATTATGACCTGATAAAACTTTAAATTGCTTAATAGTTAGTGAAATAGTTCATTAAACAGATTGATTGGGGTGTTCAAATACAGTAACTTATTCACCAGGCAGAATGGTATCTTCTTTTATAATAAAGGTTTTTTTGTTTAGAATCTGAAGGATGTTTAAATTTTCAAGTTTTATTTAAGGGTCTTAGAATTAGCTGAAATGTGTAGGAAGGTCATGTATATATAGTAACCAAGGGTGAAATAGGTTTCATTATTATCTGTGAGTTGAGGATTATGATGATATTTTGAAGAAATACTCCATTGTTTAGTCTCCTGTGGATTATAAGAAATATGTTGCTGGTGTAGGAGGGTCACATGGTACCCCCAGGGCAGAAGTGGTTTTATTGTTCTTTTTTTCAATGAGTGCTACTCTTTGAACTTTGAGACTCAAACCTTTTTTGAGATGACTGGAAAATTTATTTTTTGTTTTTGTGTGCTTCAGGTGATGTGTTGGCCAAGGGCTGTGCAAGGACCAAGAAGCCTGGGTGTGACCACTACTACTCCAAGATCTTCCAGCAAGCAGAGCAAGTGACTGACAATGAAGCCTTCATGACCTGCTATTGCANTGCTTCAGGTGATGTGTTGGCCAAGGGCTGTGCAAGGACCAAGAAGCCTGGGTGTGACCACTACTACTCCAAGATCTTCCAGCAAGCAGAGCAAGTGACTGACAATGAAGCCTTCATGACCTGCTATTGCAGAACAGACACCTGCAACCACAAGATGAGAACACATGTTACACCACCAGCTTACCTGTCTGCAGCTGCTGTTGCCCAGGGGGCAGCCATATTGCCAGCAGTCCTTGTCTCCTGCCATCTTCTCCACCAAGTGTTCACAAGTGTACTTTGATAATACTGTACCATATTTTTTTTTGTTGCTGTGTAACCATCCATCTTGTACTTGTTTTCTCAGAATAATCTGCCCATGTTTTGAAATGTGCATCCCTGTTTTTTTTTGAATGAGGCCAAAAATACTTCATGTGACTTGCAGAAAATATAAGTTTGCTTTGCAATATTCTGCTTTTGACCTTATCACATATGTATATAAGCTGAAACATGTCTTTTTAAAGTTTTCTTAGTGTTCCTGTCAACAATGTGGTGGAACTTCTGCCAGAAGGAATAACTTCATCATGTACTGAAAATATTCCATATTGTTTATTTTCCAGAGAGTTGTAATAACTTCTCACTCCCTTGGAAAGAAAAGGGGCTGACAGCAATTGCCCAGAGGGGGGAAACTCAAAAATATAACCAAAGGACAATGAGACCATTTCGCAATCACATCAGGCCTTGGCTTTATCACTCTACTGGTACTTCTCCAGTACCCATAAAAACTCTCCCCTGATGGTTTCATGAGTAAGCATAAATCAATCACTAAATGTCGGTTCCCTTACTCACGTAACAACTCACCAACCTTTAAAGAAAGAACACTACATAGAGACAGAGGAGAACAACGTTTTTAAAGAGGTTAATTCAAGTACAGTCACCACTCGGTAAAAACCTGATGGAATTCTCAATCTTGAATGTGATAGAAAAGGGGGAAAACAAACCTGATGTATTAATTTTAGTCAATTTTGGAAAACCAATCATGCTGCATCAATTGTGAAAATTAAGGTTTTTCTTGTTTTTGTATTCCTCAGCACAAGTTATAAAATTTCTTTTCTTTGTGTTTCATTATTTATTTGTGCCATTAAAGGTTGAGTTATATTGGTATTCATGCTTGTGATTTTGAATCTTGTTTCTGATGTCTGATAATTTCCAAAATAAAATAGAATCAAATCTGAGAACAAAAAAATGTGAAAAGGTTACATAATTTATTTTTGTTCATGAAAAAGAAAAAATCAACTCTTTAAAAAATCCTAAATTTCTCCTATTTTATTTTTATTTGAAGCATTACAACAGATTAGTATCACCACAAAATTGCTATTAAAATTTGAACCATTCAATATGTACTTCACCAAAGTTAACAACATGTGTTAATGAAAAAAATGAGCATACTTTACAATGACGAAGGTAAAAAATGCATTAAAATCCTTTTTGTGGAATTTCTACAAATTTCAAAAAGCTTGATGCATCTCTTATGACTGCTGCCATTTCAACCTTTGAGCAGAGGTAAAAAAATACATGAAAATACCCACACATAACAAACATTCATTTCTTCATTCAAAATTCATATTAACCAACACCTGTAAGAAAAAAAATTATCATTCCACATGACATTTATTTTCCACTTCTTGCATATTATAAAAGGAAATTTGAGAACTATGAGCTAAAATGATGCTGAAAGGGAATTTTTATTGAATTGTATGGGACAAATTAATCAATTCTTGGAAACTTTTAGTAGGAGTTATGTTGCATATAGCATCTCATACTTTGAAAAAAAAAAAAAATTGCAAAGTTTCAAATGAATTTAAAAGATGACATTGGTTCGCTTTTTTTTTCATTTTGTCATAAGCTCATCAGGGAGAATTTTTTGCAACAGGAAAATTATTTTTAAATAGGAAAACAGCAATTATTTAAACAAACCCTGCATAAATTCGAAGCTTATTCCGGGAATGAAAAAAAATATTAACTTTTTTTAAATCCCGGAACAATTGAAAACCTTCGAAAGGCTCATGAAAATTACAAGGACTAGAAACTACGCATTTAATCCTGTACATTTTTTTTGCATCCGTTTCCTAACAGAACCTGAAAACCATGATGAGGAAATCGAGTGGAACTCAACATCAGAAACAAGTTTGGTTTAAATCAAGTTCACGGAAAACGCTAAAATTATCAGCAAAATCCATCTCTTCACCCATTCGATTCTTCGTGATCTAAAACCTGATTTTAAAAATACGCCAAGACTTCACTTTCTTCGGAACTTCTGAACCAAGTGCATGTTTCTTCTCAAAATATTCCGGTGACTTTTTTTCCCCCCAGGAAATTTAAATTTGTTCAGTTTGAATTCAAATATGCTTGTGAATTGCATTTGAATGGAGTTGCATTTATGTTTCTGAAAACAGGTGAAGCTTTTCTTGTGGACTATTTGTAAATTAATTTTTTCTGGAGTTTTAAAGACCAGTGAAAAAGAGTATTCAAAGTGTGTCTCAAACACTAAAAGCAACAAATTAACAACCCCTGCAATGTGAGTATCTCATGCTTTCACATTTGGTCATATGTCATCAGAACATACAGCATGTACCTGATTTTTGAACCTAATTTAGAAAATTTTGATCTCCTCACTTTCTGAATAAAATATTGACCTGAAACATATACTCATATTTTGAAGAATATTTGATAATAACCCACTGAACCCAATTTAATAAATTTGCAATTTATCCAGACTTTTGAAATTGAGTCAAAATCAGGATTTTTTCCTTCTTGATAACCCCAATAAATGTGCTTGAAACCCACTCAGATGGGATATGGACACATTGAGACAGGGACAATTTCAGACAGTCCCAAAAAACTCTGCACACGCATTTTTTATTTTGCACCTAATTTTCTGGTTTTCCCAAGATTATTGGTAAATCTTGTGGTATTTCACATTCTTTCAAAAATTTTAATATTTGAAACATACTTTGTTAGAAATGTTTCATCATAATACTTGTGCTGTGTTATAGATTTTTTTTCTATACAAAGTGTTGTGTATATAAACTTGTGCAATTTTTCTTGACCATCAAGTAAATATTTTGTGAGGTTTACCTCTGCCAATATTTGGAAAAGTTATACAGTATTTTTTAAATATGCATGACAGTGTATTAAAATGGATCAACAGATGAATGAATAAAAGCAAGGAAATGCTTCTGTCTCAAATAGTCCTTGTGTCAAAATGCTCTCTGTCTCTAAAGTTTACTGTCTCAAATTTTCTTTGTCTCCAAAAGTTTATGTCTCAAATTGGCCATGTCTCCAATTGTCTGTCTTGATTTGTCTTATAGATCTCCCTTACACAATGCAATTAAATGTTTAAAACGTGCAGACATTTTCAAATCATGTTTCAGACAACTTTTTCAGCAGACTTCATGTTTTGAAACTGCTTTGCACACTTTCCAGAGGGACATGCAGTTGAAAATCATTTTTGAGGATTCTTGGTCTTTTTTCAACTTTCTCAAAGCCCTTGCTTATAGATGAAATGTAGAAAAAAATGAGCAATCCACACTTTTGAAATTGAAATGAAGTCCAAATAATGTTGTATAGATGACTTTTTTTCAACAGACTCCATATTTAGAAGCTGCACAGCACATTAAATCAAGATGAAAAATCATTTTTGAGGATTTTTGGTCTTCCTGGAACTTTCTCAAAATTCCACTTACATAGACACAATGTTGAAGAATGTGCAGTACACACTGATGAAATAAAGAAGGCCATTTCAGTTCCCTGTATAGAACTCATTTCAGAAATTTTTTGATATCCAAGGCAATGATTTCCAAACAGAAAATTTGATAATTTCTTATATTTTTTTTCAGTTCTTACAAAAACATTTTTTGCTCATACATTTCTCTACATATACAGTTTCTTCTGGACTTTTTCTGGATGAAAAAGTGCTACTTGGAATCCTGTTCTGGATTCTCCCACACAAGATCTCCAACATCAAGTTGACAACCCTGCTACAAATGTGAGTTCAGTTTCTCTTATTATGAAAAACTCTGTTATTGCTCTTGCCAACAAGAATCCAAGGTTTTTCTCATCATACAAAAAAATTATACCAAGAGAAAGAAACTTTTCCTGCTGTGAATTTATCAATAAGCAAACATACTGTGAATATAAATTTCAGTTGAACCTCTATAATTCAAATTTTATGGGCCCAGCAAAAAAATCATCTTGGGCAGATTTCAATTTAGGGAGTCCACAAAAACATCGCTTTTGTTTTTTTTTTCTCACACTGATGAGCTTGACACAATTCCAGTGCCTTTCGCGAAATTTTTCTTTTTGTTTTTTCAATATTTTGAAAATTTATTACGTTTGTTTGAGGTTTTATGACTCCTTGATGAACTCTTTTGAGGTTGGCATTCCAAAGTTTCAACTGCATATATGAATAATTTCGAACAACGATGGACCGGAAAAAAATGCGTAAAAAAAACTATGTGCCGAAACTGCCAACCTTCTTTTTTTTGGGATTTGATTCCCTGTCCACATTATTCAATTTATAGTCATTTTTGCTTTCCATTTCTTCGGAGTACTTTCGTGAAATAATAGGCAATTATTACATCATCGTGATTTGAGGACAATTCAAAAATTTTTTTTTCAAAATATCAAACTTGTGGATGGATGAAGAGAATAACAAAGAAAATCTGATAATCTATCTTCAAGAAAGAAAAAAAGAAACAAAAATCATTTGCTGTTTTGAAAAAAAAAAAAAACGCAGACGCGTTTTTCAACCTCAATTTGTTTTGTGATTTCGCTTTTTCTTCCAAATTCCTGGATTGTAGAATCCAGGAATTTTTTCAAAGCCATTCACGCATTTGTACACCCATCAGTTAATTTACTATTGTTTTCTCTCTACTACAGTAGAGAGAAAACAATTGCAATTATCTGCTCTGAGTGGTTTTTGAAACAAACAAAAAAAAAACCCAAGTTTGCCCTCCGCCAACCAGTGCCAAATTTTCTGTGGGGAGAATTAAGTCTCCAGACACATGGACTTAGAATTGGCATGAAATTCAATCCCAGCAATTTTGGATGCATGGAAATTGAGACACAGACAAATTCAGCCAGAAATGGGGCAAAATGAAATGTCTTTAAAAATATGCACTCTTTTAAAATAGATAAGGCAAGTCATCTCTGAGAAAAAGCAGACTTCCCTCCCTTTGAAATAAAGCTGAGGTCATTAACCCATCCTGGGAAAAGGACAAAACATGACCAGCTGCTGGAGAAATGTCCCTGAAGCATTTCTCTGGAAAAAATTGATTTGCCTTTAAATTGTTTCTGAAACTCAAGACATTTTTGAATGGTCTTAGTTTTGCAATTTATCTACAGAAAAAGAAACTTCCTGGGATTGTATTTTACTTCCAAAATATATTGGTTGAGTCTTGTAAACTACATCAATTTATTTTGGAAGTAAAGTACAATCCCACTTGGAAGACTGCACCATCAAGAACACCCAGCTACCAGCAGAAAAACAGAGCTGTTTTTCCAACAAATTTTAACATTTTCACACTCAACCAGTTTTAAACACCTGGTGTTTTCAACAATTTGAAATACCATAAATTTATGTACACCCATTGAGGCAAAACTCAGAAAAAAAATCATAAATTCGCAGATTTTTTTTAATGCCTCAACATTTTTGATTTGGACCCTTGCTAAAATTGGTTGAGAAGAAATAATCCACCAAAATTGCAACACCCAAAAAACAAAACACCTGCATTTCTTTGACCATCATCACACTGCAAATCAACAACAGCAACAAAAACACTCCAGCACACAAAAAATCAAACCGCAAAATGAAGTATCAATTTTTTTGTTTTGTCTTCACCCCAGCAGAATAATTCCCAATTATTCCACATCACAAACTCAAAGTTTCGGTGTTCTTGTTTTCCAATGATCATACTGATATCATCATTGAAGAATTATTTCCCAATATTAATAATCCCCACAATCAGTTGGCGAAAGGTGGAAAACAGTGAAGAGAAACTTTTTTTGGGAGGCGATGGCACCACAATGATTTCAGCAGCAATGGTTTGCTTTTCTGTGGCTTTTTCAACTGCTGCTGTTGTTGCATTGTTGTTAGTGTTCAGGGTAGATGCAATGGTCCTTGGAGTAGAAATTGAAGTAGACCTGGATGTAGATGCAGATGTAGATGTAGATGTAGATGTGGATGTAGATGTAGATGTGGATGTAGAGGTAGTTGTTGGGGCAGTAATTGTGGTTGTAGGCCTTGCATTGCCACACTGCACATCAGCTAGTCTACAAATGGTGGTCATGTGACTGGAGTATGACAATGATGTGCCCATGACCAAAGAGATGGGAGCAGGACCACAGAAGGACCGTTCAGCCATAGCTGCCAAGTACTGGAGTCCATCAGATCCTCGCACAACCATTGCTACTGCATCTTGAAACTGTATGATAAGAGTGTTTCAATTTTCTGTTTTTATTGCACTTGATACAATTGAAAATTTCATGAGTCAGGTATACTCAGTTCAACCTCTCTGAGTCAAATTTCAAGGGACCAGCAAAACAAATTTTCTTATAGGGAGGTTTAGAATTATAGAGGTTTGAGCTAAAAAAAAAAAATCATCAAGCACTTTTGTTCTGGGAAACAAAGAATAATTGCCCAAAATTGCAAACAGTGTTATTCTGGGGCATACTTTGCTTCTTCACTGAGTTGACAGGATACTGTACTTGGAGGCAGGGGTTCATTTGCCCAATTGTGTCTTTCATTTCCTTTCAAAATACATCAAGTATTTTTTTATTGCTTGTTTTAATTCCTGTGTCAAGAAGATAATAGCCAACTGGCTACAGAAAATTTGCCGTTATTGAAGGTTTGAGCGGAAAAGCCTTTGAATTAAGGAGGTTTTCAATGCATTGTTTCTGGGGGGATTCAGACCAAGACATGAAAGAATTTTACTTATGGAGGTATTTGACTCTGGGAGGTTTGAGTCATCATGTTCACCTGTATATTCAATTCAATGGTCAAAGATTGATTAGTATTTACCAGATAACATTTTGAGCCAGTTCTTGGGGCAGTAGAGAAGCATGAGACTGTGGCCATTGTGTCCAATGAACCCTGGACGCCACTTACTGAAGATGGACAGAGGGTTCCATTGATTGCCATATTGAATTTTCCTTGATTATTGCTGAAACCACTGCCTGATGAAGGATGTTGATATATGAAAGCAAGAATAACACCTGTTAGTGATTTTGATCATTCTTGTGCTGAATTTTTTTTGTCAACTTTGGCGGCTGAGTTGAAATCCCTGAGATGGGAAAAGGGATTTTGGTGCATCTTGGGATATGCCTAAAAACAAAGAGTAATTCCCTTGGCAGGGTGGCAAAATAAAATGATTGCAAAAATTGGCTAACTGGCCAATAACAATAAAACAAACCCCATCCTTGGGCAAAATGACTTTCTCTTCTTCCCCAAGTCCAGGGCCAAATAACTCAAGTTTTTTCTGCTGTTGATTTTTGTTCCCCAAAAATGTGGGCATCATCTTACCAACTTTTCCTGGGATTGTAACCCAAAAACCAAATTGCAATTATTTTCTTTTCTCCTTATATGGGAAAAGATCCTTCTCAACAAGGTATCTGTTTCCTTGCAGCTGTTCCCCTTTTGTTTTGGTTCTCCCTCTCTCACGTCAGCCCGCATTAATGCGTGACAGTTGTTATTGTGTGTTTCTCCTTTTCAACTTGCTATTTGTTGACAGTGACAAATGACCTGCACTGCCTTCTTCTAAACTGCCAATTTAGAAGAAGCCTATTCTGTTGAATTTGCAAGTGTATATATGTTATTTATACTTATAATATATATACCTGGATATATTTATTCATCAAGTGTTCAGGTAACCCGCAGTTCCTCAATCTAGGCAAATATTCTGCCTCTATATTGTATGCTTCCTGTATGGAAGGTATAAATATACCTTTCTTCCCACATATTTCTCCAGAATTAATCCAGAGTCATTTGCAGTTATTTCTCAGAGAGACTTGTGGAACGTTTTAGCAAGACTCTCTTAAAGCTCTCTATTTTTATGTTTGTGTGATTGTAAGAATATTTGTGAATTGAATATATTTGAAGCATATATTTTTATTGCTTGTATATTTTATTTTACCACAGTCTATGGACAACAGGATGAAGAGTTTTCTTTCTGATGGCTTTAATGCCACCAGATTTTTTGGCCATTTTTCTTTGTGCATGCAAATTTGTATTGGGACATGCATTTGAAATAAAATCCTCTGCCAGGAAACAGCACTATTTGATACACCAAAAACAAGACACTATACAGTCATTGTGGATAATATTGTACACCTTATGATGCCAAAAGATCAGATTCTGTGTGGTTTTCTTCTGGACATTTATTCTCTGCTTTGTGAAGTTTGCAAGAAATAATTTTATGCATTTTTGAAGGACTTCTGATCAAGTATTCATCATCATGAGACCCAATTAAAATATCATCATGAAGTCCATGGGTAAATTAGGTCTGATTTGCAGATGTTCCTACTTATTCACAGTAAGGTCAATGCACCAATTATGTACACATCCCAGGTTCCCACTATATGAAATTCAATTTGGAATCTATTTTGTGCTACACTTTTTCCATCTTGTTTGAGTTTCTTGATAAACTCTCAACCTTTTTTAAAATATTGATGAACACATCCCCAGTTAGCCCCAGGGATTGTACAGTACCTTCAGTAATTCTTTGAATAGAAAGGCTTGAAATTGCAAAAGGACTTCACTAGAATCCTTGTAAAAGAGGAACTTGCATACAAAGTGATGAAGCTTCAACAGAATTTTTCTGTTAACATCCTCCAAAAACTCATGCAGAAAACTGATCACTCACTGGTAGTAGGAATTTCTGAATACATCTCATAAACTGCATCAGGTTCCACAAGACTTGACCAGGTATCAGTTGACACCCTGATGGTCTTGACTGTTTCCCCAAGAATGAAGGGCTCTGACACCAACAAAAGGGCCAGTTTGTTTTTGAATAATGAATTGATATTTGTGAGCGTTGGTACATCATATCGCGGGAATGGTGTTATGTCACTCAGTGCCACAGGTTTGTCTTGCCGGTCTTGTAAACTGGCACTTGCCAGCACTCCAGATGTGGCAGTCACGTTTGTTAGTCGATTACTGGAAGCATAAGTCGCAGGATTCAGGTTTCTGTAGAGAGCAAGAATGGCCCTGTAATATAAAGGATTCATTTAATATGGAGAAGGATGGAATTGAAATTTTCAGAGCTGCTAATTATAAGGCTTGGAATTTAGTGAGTGCTTTATAGAATTCAGGCTGACTCAGTTGAATTACCATAACAATTAATGCACCAATAAATGCCTGGTCTCCAGCAGATGACAAACTCTCTAATAAATGCTGGGTCTCAAAGGCGGTTCAAGGGAAAATAGTAGCTGGCCTCTAAAGCACTGTACTGGCTAAGTCAAAGAAAAGGGGGATTATTCCAAGATTTTCATTTTTATTTTGTTGATCCTGATGATAAAATAAGAATTCATTTTTTGCATATGTACAGTGAGACCCCAAGATGCAGACATGTAGGAATGCCCCTAAGTTGAGTCTCATTTTCCTTTAGACTTTGCTTTTAATGAGTTTAATTGGTTCTTCTTTTTGTCAGACAATTAGTAATAAGTCCTCAAAAAATTAATAAACATTGTTGCCCATGACTTGACTTTGAGATGTAGAAAATAATAGGGCAGAACAAAACACTATAGAATCTGATCTTCTGGTTTCAAAAAGAGATCAAAAGCAAAGAAAAAGAATGAGTCTTGCTAGAATTTGAACATATGGTAGGCAAAAATACTGAAAAAAAGAAGCAGAATTCAGCTTACTTTTAATTATGATTAAGAGGTAATTTATCATGCTAAATTTTTTTTCAGTTTTTGTGAATAAAACTTTCTAGATTTTCTCAAATGATATCAAAATTTAAAAATACAATGCTTCAAAAGTTTTTTAAAAATTCCAGAAAAGGGTCCAAATTTTGAGCAAATGTCTTTATGTTGGGCCTGACTTTTTTGGTTCTCAGGTGTCCCTAAGGGATTACCAACCTTTTGTTACAGGCTTTTTGTAGGTGTGCCTTTTTGTTACAAGGACACACTCATTACCAAATGTTTTGTTACCAACTTTTTGTTACAGCAATTTTTGTTACAAAGATTTCTTGTTACGTTTCATTTTTTTACACGTCATCTTTGTTACAGGTATGTTTTTTTTGGTGTACTATTGGATTCAGGCAAGAAAATGTTACCAACTCCTTTTGTAACCAAAATTTGTATATTCTGATGCACCAATTGAGGTTAAGAGAAGTATTAGGGTTTAGAGAAGTATTAGGGTTAAGAGAAGTATTAGGTTAGAAAGTATTAAGGTTAAGAGAAGTATCAACCTAAAATTTGGTACATTGCTCTTCTAATTGAGGATAGCCATTGCAAAATCCCTCTAGCCCATGGATTCACAATCTCATCCTCTTCCTCTAGGTCTTCTTCACTGTCCCAGGCTTCCTGAAATCTAGGCAGCAATGTCAAAAGCCGTTCATCCATTTTTATGAGTGTCTTTGACTTCTGTGTAATGATTCCTCCTTCTTGGATAAGTATCCCCTGGCTTTTGGCCTATAATTCCTCTTTCTGTACTGTGCTCATGAATTTATATATGGAAGGATGATTTTTCCCCATGATTGTCTTGAACCTTTGGTTCCACCCCTCAACACTGTTGTTAGTACACAGAAGTCCACATAATGTCCGCTCTCAAAGGTTCCAGTAAGCTAGGGGGTATTTTGGTAGAATTTGTTGAGCACCCTTCTTATAGCCTTTGATGTAATACTTTTACAAAGTATGATTTATTATGAAATAAATTTATACCATGTGATACAAAGATTTAACAATTCAAGTAGGAGTAATACAATTCAAGTAGGAGTATGCGTCATAAATTTTAAAAATTGTATAATTCCCTCAGGCTTTTGAATTCATTGTTCTAAAGTAAATACGGTCCCAGCTTTCATAAGGTTTTTATTTCGTTTTAACAAAATAGTGTTTCTGTAACAAAATTGTAATGATACAAAACTAGCCTGTAACAAAAGAGCAATGTAATGAAATACTACTGTAACGTACATGATTGTTACAAAGTAGTGCCAGTAGCAAAAATGTTTTGTAACAAAAGGCTGCCCATAACAAATTGCCCGTAACAAAAAGTTGCATTTGCAAATAGGCTGTAACAAATAGTTGCTACACCGTCCCTAAGTGAGTTATTTTGCAATGTTGGGGTGTCTGTATATCAGGGTCTCACTGTATTTCATATGCAACAAAAATTAAAAATCAACATATAATCTGCACAAATATGAAGAATCCCTTTCCAAATTTATTGATTCTAGAAAAGCTAATTCAGAAAAAATGCACATTTTAGTAACAGAGTACATGCCCCAAATTTTTCCATGGTTCAAAATATTCTTTGAAACATCAACAAAAATGTGAAAAACCATCATGTACTCCTTCTTGTATCATCATTAATTTCAAACAGGTGAGGAAATTTAATCTGTAACACTATAACATTTTGCAGAAAATTTTGCATATGCTGAAATGATTTATTTTCATTGTTTCATCCTGAGAAACCTTTCTTCTAGCCTGCCTTTCTCAAGTTGTGAAATTGCTTTCCTATATATACCTGCTTCATTTTGTTTACCCTTTTTCTCTTCTCAAAAAGACAGAAACTTTTCAAATATCTTCCATAAGCCCTTCAAGCAAAACTTTGTTGAGCCTGCCAAATGGTATGAAACTTATTTGGTGGTCTGCAAAGTTGTTCATTTGTTTGTTCATCAAACTCAGTTGAACAACAGATTGATGTCCAGACTCCAGAGGACTGAGATGCACAATCAATCAATTTAGTCTTAAATATAAGAGGGTAGTTATTCCTTTACCACTGGCAAACCAGCAAATTTGAACAAAATCTTTTGTGGACATGAAAATTGCCATACAATTTTCTGCAGACTGGCAAAGTTCCATAAAACTTATCCAGACAGGGAACTTTTTTTTAGAAACCCATCACAAAGTTCTCAAAACAAAGCTTGTACTGCAAAAATTAGCTAAATAACCATGAAGCACGTACAGTATATATTGGAATGTCTTAAAAAATAAAATAGAAAGCTGACCTACAAGAAAGGCTATTGAGATATAAAACTGAAAATAACGCATTTCAGACAAGTGAAGACACGTTTGAAGCATGAAGTATGTAATCAGAAGAAAAGCTAATTTTTATATTTCTCTGCTAATCTCAACTGTCATATTTTTCAAAAATTGTAGATAATTAAGGATAACAGGCTTCATCACTGCCTTCCATAAAGGTACCAAGCCAAAGAAATTCTCCAGTAAAAAAAAAAAAAAACAGTAAAAAACTTTTGTGGACCAGCGCTGGTCACAAAATCCCTGGTATTCCAATATTGCACTCAAGTGCTGGCCATAGTCAAACCCCAGTTTACCAATGTACAGGGTTATGGATTTTTGGTTTACAGACCATTTTGGGGGAGTTACACCACCTTACAGACTACAGTCCATTTTTATGATGCTTGAAAATTCATCAAAAATTTGATTTTCAACCAATTTTAATATTTTTACAGCATTTGATGTGCAAACATATTTTTTAAATTTAATTTTTGTAAACATGCCAAAAGCTGAAAGTTTGACAGAATTACAACCAAAAATGTACAACACTTTTGAAAATCATACAAAATTGCCAAATATGTTATTACTTTTTGAATTTCAGCTGCTTCAATTATCAAAATGTTTCAATGAAGAAAAGAGTAAACTTGTAAAACATCTTTGTGCATGACACCCAAGGGTCACCCCAAACTCAACTTCTCCATTCACTTCCTCCTGCAAGGTGAGAGCCTGGAAACCCAGGGATTTTTGACTATTGGCAAGCATGATATAAACGTGAATCAAATTTTTCAGACTCTCCCAAGGAATCAGAAACGTGGTTGGGTTTGTGGTTCCTTGCAATGCAATTAACACCCCTGCCCTTTTCTTAAAAAACTTGACATTTGGTATTTGTAGAACACCTGCAGTTTATGCTTTGTCAATACATGAAACAACAAAGCACAGCAGTTATTATAGACAGTCAAAACAAAATGTAAATTTTTTTACAAAAACAAAAAAAAGGAAAAGGCAGAAAAAGTATCTGTGCCTCCAATCCCTTTATAAATTTAAAGTGTGGTGAAAAAATTAGTTTTGCTTAAATTTTCAAACTAGAAAAAGAATTTTTTGAGAATTGATACAGAAAAGGTTCTATACATGCTCCTTTTCAACTCTGTCAATTTGAAGTATTTTCAAGGTTTAAAAATGTGAAGTGTAGAGAACTTGATGGTACTTCCAAGTTCCAATGCAGTTAAAAATTTTCCTTTCAATGCATAATTACTTTTTTGCCAAATTTCAAAAGATGAAAAATTGGGAAGAAAGATGGAAACAAGAATTCACACTTTCCAGTTTAGCTCATTCTAATTTGTTTTCTTTTGATGAAACTTTAAAATTATTTACAAAATATCATGCACAGTGATGTTTTACAAGTTTTCTCTTTTATTCATTGAAAAATGTTGCTAATTGAAACAGCTGAAATTCAAAAATTAAATTTTTTTTGCCTATTTTTGTACAATTTTCAAAAATGTTTTCACAGTTTTGGTTGTATTTCTGTCAAATTTTTTGCTTTTTGAGTGTTTAGACAACGTTAACTTAGGACACATTTTTGCACATGCAACCCTGTGAAACATTTGAAAATTGATCAAGAATTGAATTTGTGACAAATTTCCAAAGTTTACTAAACAGGAAATGATTTTTGGTAATTTGGAACAAATTAAAATTTTCAACATTGTGGTCCATGGTGGATTGTGTTTCAGGTTTATTGACTCACCTGTTTACAGATGAGCCCTTTGAAAAAATTAAGTCTGTCAACCGGGCGTTTGACTGTATTTAGGAAATTTTTGAAGCAAAATCAATAAAGGAACATGTATTGAAGCTGAACTTTACCTGGGTGTTATGAGGCAACCTGGATCAATAGTAACTGAAACGCCTGTGGATACTGTTACAAACAATCTGATCATGAATGCAGCGTCCTGGTCATTAATTGACAAAGCTCGTCCTTGGCCAATGACACCAACACTGTTATACACTGTGTAATTGAAGAAAAAAAAAAAGAAACCAATGGGTGAATTTGTCAATAATAGAACAAGGAACTCGGACGGATCTGCGAATCAATTTGAGACGAACTCACCGCCTGCTGGTATTGAATTTGCATAAATGGCAGTGGTTAAAATCATGGCCACGTTTGTCAAGTCGAGGAACTTCATTCGAAAAAAAAAAACCTTGACGTCGAATATGCTTTTCGAAAGATTCACCACTGTTGCTTAGGATTGAGTATAAACACTTTCTATTTTCCTTTATCACCAGCAGCTATGGGAAAGAAAAACGCCTGAGGGCACATATATACAGTGGCCCCCCGCCTAACAGACCTCCCATGTAAGGGATTCTTGCCAAACAGACAAGCTCTGCAAGCAGTTTTTCCTCCCGCCCAACTGCATTTTTACCATCAATTTTAAACCATCCAATGTCTTTTATGTGGATTTTAGACCATTTCATGGGAGGGTAAACTGCTTCCAGAGGCAGTCCATTGTGCAAAAATCCATTGTGTGGGAGTTGACTGTATAATATGAATTTACTGCATTGTACTTGTGTATGTCATGGGTTTGGATGAACCTCTCATATTTGGTCTTCCACATTGTCCTTGGAAAAGTGGAAATGAGAAAAACTGTAATTGCAACAACCAAACTAAATATGTGTCTTTTATTAAATACTCATGCATGACAATCCAAAACAGTACCACAACCAATATCTTCATGAACCACACAATATTTCAAGTAAGTCTGCAGTACAACATTTATGTACAGTGCATTACATTCTCTGGAAAGGGTTTTGCCAATAGATTCAGGACTCTCAGCCAAGCCCTGCAATTAACCTCCTAAACATGGAAATGAAACTTGCAAATGTTTTCCTTGCTGGTTCCTCTTGTCCTTGTTCTTGGCCATCCATGGCTTTGGTTGTTATGCTTGATAACCTTGATGATCCTGTGGTGTGATCTGAAGCTGTAGTACTACTCTGGGAAGCAGTTCCAGAAGTACTAGTTGAAGTTGGGGTGGTAGTGGTGGGTAAAGTCAATGCTGTACCACACTCCACATCAGCTACACCACAGATGGTGGTCCTGTGGCTCTCATACACCACTGATGGAGCAAAAATTGTGGTTGGGGGTGAATCACACCTGAGGAATTTGCTACATGGGAGGTCTGTTATAGGTGGGGGGCCACTGTATATTGATTGGAATCAGTTTAAATTGGGAGACAATTTTTTTTATTTTCATGGGATTATGGTGAGTATTTTGTGCATAAAACACCAATTAAAAATTATACAATGTAAGTCTAAGAGAAAATGAGACTCAACTTGGAGACATTTTGACTTGGGAACACTCTTGAGGCACCAATTATATGTCCACATCTCGAGGTCTCACTGTGTACTGTACAGTATGTGTAACCGCGAAGATCCTAAAGTTCAAATGAACAAAAATCATTCCCTCTTTTGAAAAAAAAAGCGCAAACACAAACACGTTTTTCAACCTATATAGCTCTTATTGAAGATGAGGACGAAGAAGTTTTTTTCAGACGAACACCAAGAAATTAAGCGTTTGTGTTTCTTATATTCAATCGGAAATTTGACGGAATTCCTCTGCTTAATTCCCCTCTTTCTTTTTTTTAAATCTTCAGACACATTTGCTTCGATCATGATTATGGCGTTATTCTTCAATATGCAGGGATTACAAATTGAAAAAGCTGTTCTTCACTGAAATTTCTCTCCTTTTCTTTTTTTTTTTAAGGAAAAAAAAACCGAGTGCGTGTGACAACATGGCTATAGGAAATTTCAAACTGAACTGCGGCAAGCAAAGCTGCTGACAACGACACAAACTCAATTTTTTTTTTTCATTTCGTTTTTCCTCCCAAATTCTTTGAGGGGGGGCTCTCCAGGAATTTGTCGAGGCCATTCACGCATCCGTGCCCATCACCTGGCTTACTATTGTTTTCTCTCAACGAAAACAGCAGAGAGAGAAAAAAAGTATTAAAAATTAAATGCCACCAGGGTTTTTCAAACGGAAAAGGAAAAAGAAAATGAAAAATACCCGAGTTTTCCCTCTGCCATATTTTATTGAAAACTGAAAATTTTTCGTTTCACCTTGTTGAAGCCTTGAATAAATGCATGCGTGAGCCAGAGGGAAATTTGAGGACAGGCGATGAAAAAGAAATGAAAACGATTCACTCTGGGTTCTTCTAAAAAAAGAAAAAAAATATAAGTATTTTTTTTAATTTTGAGAAAATCAGGGTTGGGGATGACATTTTGAAATCAAAGGAAATTGGCTCTTCATGTGTTTCTTCACTGCATATGTGATGACAGAATGTAGCTACTGTACTTTACTTTTTTTATAGTTTAAATAAAAAATCTGATGGGTGATTCATAATTATTCTTTCAACTATAATTTTGCTGCTCTAGTGCATCATGTCTCTTTCTTTCTCTTTCAATTTTTTTTTCAATTTTAATCGCCTTTAATTTATTTTCCCTAAATTGTAAGGCAATTATAATAATTGCATACCTTAATACAGTATAAATAAAACAAGGTGATTGAAACTTGATGCAATTGTTATCCAAAAACTACTTTACAGAAGTGAGTGATCAACGATGATCAGTTGTTGAGAGCTACTACTAATAATTAAAGGAAAAGGGGATTAGAGATTTAAATCATTTTCCGCAACTTTCAAAGGAAACACAAAAGTTACTCCGTGAGAGTATTTTCAAGTATTATTTATTATATCTTCACACACAGTCAATACAACAATTCTACAGAGCAAAGCGGTGCAGACTTGGCGTTTGGACAAGGTCTGGTGCGGTAAACTTAATGCAACATAAAATGCACCTGTATATATAGCTTTGGCCGGCCAAGGTCAAAGAACGTGCATAGAAACTGATTTGGATTGGGGACATCACGCTTTGTTTATTTAAAGGAAGGAAGCATGAGCGCGGTTGGGAAAGTATTCTGTCAACAACGGGATTGTGAAATATAATTGCTAGCGCACCAGGCGCAGCCAAGCGTAGTGGAAATACATTAGCTTAAAAGGGTCGTGCGTAAAGTGAAGGGTGTTGTGGTCGTTAATATGACTACACAATATATACTGTATGCATTTGCAATTATTTAAACTTTTTTGAATCCAAATTCATATTCATCCAATTAGTCAATCCACCAAAAACATTGATGATAATATATAACCTCATTTCATCATCATTTGAAGTTTATTGTTATGTCTATATTCCATGTCTACATGCTTAACATGGGAACATTTGACAGATTTCTGAAATTTTAGTCATTTTTCAGTCACCTAAACGCATGCCTGCATGAATCAATAAGGGAAACATAAAAACCATTGAATTTGCTTTCAAACATTAGCCTGTCCTATTTAAATTTTAATTTTTCTGAGAACTGGTTCTTCTAGGAAATGTAATTTTCTTTCAGGATTGTGCAAATGGTAAATGAAAAGAAGTGAGAATCTCACATGTATTTGAAAAATAGTGAACCCCCACTCAGCAGACTTAATTTGTGAAAAAGACTATATGTTGTGTGACAATGTTTAACATTATTTGCATTCAATTATTAAAAAAATGAAATTTTTGCATTTTTACCATCAATTTTAAACCATCCAATGTCTTTTATGTGGATTTTAGACCATTTCATGGGAGGGTAAACTGCTTCCAGAGGCAGTCCATTGTGCAAAAATCCATTGTGTGGGAGTTGACTGTATAATATGAATTTACTGCATTGTACTTGTGTATGTCATGGGTTTGGATGAACCTCTCATATTTGGTCTTCAACATTGTCCTTGGAAAAGTGGAAATGAGAAAAACTGTAATTTCAACAACCAAACTATAAATACGTGCCTTTTATTAAATACTCATGCATGACAATCCAAAACAGTACCACAACCATTATCTGCAAGAACCACACATTATTTCAACTCAGTCTGCAGTACAACATGTATGTACAGTACTTTAGATTCTTGATAAAGGGTTTTCCCAATATATTCAGGACTTTCAGCCAAGCCTTGCAATCAACCTCCTAAGCATGGAAATGAAACTTGCAAAAGTTTTCCTTGCTGGTTCCTGTTGTCCTTGTTCTTGGCCACCCATGGCTTTGGTTGTCATGCTTGATAACCCTGATGATCCTGTGGCCTGATCTGAAGCTGTAGTAATCCTCTGGGAAGTAGTTTTAAAAGTACTAGTACTAGTTGAAGTGGGGGTGGTAGTTGTGGGTAAAGTCAATGCTGTACCACACTCCACATCAGCTACACCACAGATGGTGGTCCTGTGGCTCTCATACACCACTGATGGAGCAAAAATTGTGGTTGGGGGTGAATCACACCTGAGGAATTTGCTGAACCCCACCAAGTAGTCATTTCCATCCACTCCTCTGACCACAATTGCAGCTCCATTATCAAACTAAATGTTCATTGATGTTAGCCAAACAAAAATCTCATCAAGTACAAATTCAAATCAAGGTTTATATTACCAATACACAGTATGGACCAATTGTTGATAAAACAGACACGCATGAGACTGCCAATGGGTCCAGTGTTTTTTCAAAGTTCATTATTGACTCTGGGCATGCTATTCCAGTGGTGGTAACTTCTTCTTTCTTTGCCACAAGTGATGATTTAACTAGACAGTAAACAAGAGAGATCCACTCTGTACACATATGAAGATGAAAATAAGGTTCAAGTGAGCAATTCAAGTGATGGGCTTGAGAAAATTGTTTTTTAAATGTCCTCAGAATGCATTCATTTTGTTGTTGTAAAGATTGAGAATCACCCCTAACCAGGGAAACAAAACTTCTAATGAGAGTTTACATGCTGTCAAACATTGCACAATAAGAGGATTAGAAAAATAACAATTGAGTGACAAAAAGGAAAGATTCCATGAGTAAATCTGCATCATTTACAAACATTGATATGCCCTGATGCAATGAATATGCTTTGTTGCAATTTGTGCTTCACTATATATCAAAGACTGCATTGAAGCATATATACAGTGAGACCGCCACAAGCGGACGCCTTGACATGGGGATGATTCAACATGGGGACATTTATTTTTTTTAACAAAAAAATCATAAAAAGACCCGACATGAGGACACTGACTCAACCTGGGGACATCGCAGGGTAAAATTCCAATTTAAATTTTAGGAAAATCTATTTTTTGAGGCTTAATTGCAAGAAACAGATGTTTCCAACCTAAGATCTATGCAAGAAAAATTCTTTGGTACTTTTCCCATCATTTTCCCTTCCAAATGTTCTTATTGGTTAGAAAAGATATTCATTGAATCAAATTCAAGTGGCAAAAATTTTTTTTCATGAAATTCTGAAGAATATTTCTTCCATAAAACACCAATTAAAAATTATACAATGTAAGTCTATGGGAAAACAAGATTTGACTTAGGGACATTTTGACTTGAGGACACTCTTGATACACCAATTACGTCCGCATCTCAGGGTCTCACTGTATTTTGCATTTTATTTTATTTTGAATGCATCTTATGGGTTTAAGTTCAGTTTGCTCAGACAACAAGAGATTATATCAAAGCACACTCACCTTCAGAGGCAATTACGCCATAAATCCCATATATTTTGACTCCTGCAAGATTTGTTCCAACATCTACCGCAATTCTTATTGTCCTGACAGCTTCTCCTATGATGAATGACTCATTCACAACAGCAATTGCTTGGCTGCTCTTGAAAAGTGAATTAACATCTTCAGAGGTTGGTTGTGTGTATCCTGGGAATGCAGTGACGTCATTCCAGTTGATTGAACGAGTTTGGTAGTTTTGGGAAGTGGCACTATCCAATTGGCCACATGTGGCCAACACTTGTTCTGGCATGAATCCTTCATTGCTCCAATAGGCTAGATTCAACTTCTTGTATGCTGACAGCAATGCCCTGCAAATGAGCAAATTAACAAATGATGAATTGGAGTTTCTATGAGATTGTTTTCATATGTTTTTATGTCAGTGCTCTAAATCTGCATCTATTCCAGTACCAATGCATGCATTTTTTTCAACAACCAATTTGAGAGAAAAGTTTGGAAATTCATTTTATAGATGATACTATGTATGAAGAGTTCATTTGATCCATGTTTATGCTTTTTAAAGTTTCTGTCATTGTATATTTTCATCTCTGCTTCAATCTCTTGGAACAACTCATGGGTGGATCTCCTTTTGTTTCCTATAATGGCTAGTTTTCATATGATGTCAACATGCATTATGTGATACCTGAATTATACAATAGACTTTCATCATATAGACTTTCATCATATAGACTTTCATCATATAACTGACTTCTCAGTTTTTTTTACATAATAATACAGTAATCATTGTTCATATACAGTATTACTTATAAACAGGAGCAAATTTTTTGAAAGGTTGGACATCAAATGGGAAATACAGTGTGGTCTTGACTTAGAAACTCAATTGCTGGTTCCTGAAGATACTTTGTCACCAAAATAGTTTGTAAGCCAAATCACCTTGAAAATGCCCATTAAATTCAAGAAAATGAACCCTAAGAATATTTTTGGGCCTGAAAATCATTGAATCATCCAAAGACTAAATACATGAAACTCACGTTACTGCAGTAAAGCAATCCATAGAAGTGAAATTTTAAAGTGAGTTTCTCCAGAGGTTTCTTTTGCAAAATTTTAAATGCAACACTATACATAAACTTATTCACAGACCAAGGACATGAGCTGGATAAATTTAAAGCTAAAAACTTTTGAATTTTAACCTAATTAGAATGAATAAAATAAAATTGGTGATTAAGAAATGGTCACTGAACTTTTGAGGTATTCTCAGATGAGATGATGAATAAGTTTAGAAATGAATCCCTGGATTCTTCTGAAGAATCTTTTTTTTTTAGACACATGAGCATTTGGAGAACTCAAAGTTAGTATAATTAAGCCAAGCCATTGTTTGTTAGCCAGAGCAGCTGAGGCCAAAACCAAAAGTTGTTTAGCTGAAAAGTTTGTAAACTGGGGCATTTCTAAGCCAAGACCCCACTGTAAAAGAGTTGAACCTCAATAACTTAAACTTCCATTATAATACCCTTCGAGTCAAATTTTGTTTAGGTCCCCATCTGAATCCCCTTAAAAAACAGTAAATTGAAAACCTCCCTAAGTCAAAAGGCTTTTTCCCTAAAATATATACAAGTCAAATTCTATGTTGCTTGTTGACTATTATTTTCTTGACACAAGAAAGAAAAAAGCAATGAAAATAGGAATTGATGCATTTTAAAAGAAAGTTAAAGACTTGATTGGGCAAAGGAACCCCTGTCAGCTAGTTTGGCATCCTTTCAACTCATTTAAGAATACATTTAAGCACCAGAATATAACAATTTTCAATTATGGGCAACTTTTCTATGCTTCCAAGAACATATAAGGGTTTTGCATTTTTATTTGCTTGTCCCTTGGAATTAGACTTAGAGACATTTGACAATATGTTAAATTGCAGTTGTTGTAACACAGTTATTTGATTGAATAAAACACCAATTCTTCTCAATAATGGGCAACTTTAAAATGCCAATTTTCCATGATGATGAAGCTCAAAATTAAAAAAAAAATGCTCCATCTACTCAAGTTCTTTTTGAATTTTTATATTTGACTCTCACTTGGGCGATATGAGGACACCGCTGTCGTAATCTTCAATACTGCCTTGCACTGTAAATGTGATGACTGCCAAAAATGAGGCTTCCTTGTCATCTGCAGTCAAGGCTCGGCGATGATCAGAAACAGCTGATGGGTTCCCAATATCAGCAATAACATCATCAGACACTGAAAGAAGGACACGATAATTTGCTCTTTCTTTTTCTCTTCTAAATTTATTGAAAACTTTGAGCAATATGTTGTCTGATTTTTAAATATAACAATTTCAAAATATATATATATAAAAGATATTTTTTATTCACAACCAATTTGTTCAAAGACAAATACAACAAAAACAGACAAGTTTTAAGAAAATCTTGTTAAATGTACACAAGGTTCTCTGAGAAGTAACTGCGGTTGACACAGGATTAAATCTGAGGAAAATATTGTTCCTCAGCAATATATATGCTTTTCAGGTATACAGGTCAACAACAAGGTATTTCATTTATTATTCATGAGTGCGTGGACCTCATGAAGCAAAATATTTGGAACATGATACACAACCATATATATATATATATGCAAATCTGTTATATGTGGTATATACCTCCAAAATTTGTATTTCAGAGGTGCGGCAGTGCAGATATGTGCGCAGATAACATTCGTCATTGTCAAGAGTGAGGAGGAGTTTTATTAGTTAAAGAGGACAAAAGCGCATCACACTGTTTAACCTGGGGTGACGTGTGAAGAGATATTTCAAAACAAGGGGAACAGCTGCAAGGAGAAAACCTTGTTTGCTTCCTCAAAGTAAGGTGCAATTTGAAAAGAGGTCTTGGAGACAAATCCAAGTATTTCCTGGATAACAAATAATATTCAAGATTGTACACTTGGAAAAAAAACTCACTTTTTGCATCATGAGAATTATTGGCAGCAGAATAAGCAGCAAATACTTTGATTGCAAAATTCATCATCATCAAGATGATGAAGAAGGGAGTCTTCATTTTGAGAATCCTTCACGTCAAATATGCTTTTCCAAAAATACACTGTTAGCTTAAGTGAAAACGATTTTTTTATTTTTCGTTATCGAGAACAGTTCTATGATGCCGAAGAAAAACGCCCGAGGGCATGCGTGTATAGATGGGAATCTTCTAGAAGAAAAAAAATACAAAATGAAAATCATTATTCGCTCTTTTGAAAAAAAAAACACACACAAACACGTTTTTCAACCTTATCTCTTAATATCGAAGATTAGGTCGACAACAAGCACCAAGAAATTAAGCGTTATTTGTGTTTCTTATTCAATCTGAAGTTTGACAGAATTCCTCTACTTATTTCTCCCTTTTTGGAAATCTTCAAACACATTTTCTTCGATTATAATTGGCGTTCTTCTTAAATACAGGGAATACGTGAAAAACCTGTTCTTCACTGAAATTTCTCCACTTTTTTTAAAATGAAAAATGAGAGAAAACCCGAGTGCGTGTAAAACGACGGCTAAGAAATTTCAAACTGAACTGAACGGCAAGCAAAGCTGACGACGACACAAACTCAATCTTTTTTTTTGTGATTTCGTTTTTTCTTCCAAATTCTTGAAGGGGGGCGATCCATAGGAATCTTTTGAGGCCATTCACGCATCCGTACACCCATCAGCAGTTGGTATACTATTGTTTTCTCTCAACTGTATAGTAAAGAGAAAACAATCAAAATTATCTGCTCTGAGGGTTTTTCGAAACCCGAGTTTTCCCTTGGCTGTCTTGAAAACCAAACATTTCCTTGCACCTTATATTTGCTGGGAAATTAGAAAAGGAAGGATGGAGTTTAGACAGATTTAACACTATTGTGCCGCAAAGTTGGGATATTTTTGCAAAATTTTGTGCCACTGGGCACTGGGAACTTGAAAAAAAAAAACCTACTTTTTTTTACCAAGGGCTAAGTCAGGAAAAAAGTCCAAAATTGTTTTCTAATCCTGCAGAAAATTTTTGATGAAAATTAAAAACAAAAATTCCTGGCCTGGGTGGCGTTTTTCCCTGCATTCTTGGCATAGGATTTGCAAGGGAAAATCTTGGGAACAAAAGAAAATTTTCCTCCCAGATTTTTCCCAACTTGGTCCTCCTCAACCTGTGTGGTGGAATAATTTGGTACATTAAAGTACCACAAAATCTATGCAGATTGTTAGAGACCTTTATCATGTTTTCTACAGATCATGCAAGAGAGAGAGTGAAAACCATAGAAGGTCACTCTTGCAACATTATTCCTGAGTCTCTCTCAGTCGATCCACTGCCAATTATTATTCCAATAATTGTTATCTGATATTCTTATTGTGTGCTGTGTTCTGTGAATCAATTGTTCATGGGGTTAAAATGAAATATACTTTATCTGTTTCTTTGGGATCTTGTAAACAAGATCCCCAGGTGAACCCCACACCTGATTAAAGTGTTTTATTTCAAATTCTGCGCCCTTTTGTATCAGTTCAGGTACAACCTGCGTGCATTTCAGTAACCTTGGGTCAAACTGAAATTTGCTGCCCCCCGGAAAAATCCCGACTCTGCCGTGCACTGAGAAAGAACCCTCCGCTGTCCAAGGGTTAACTGGCGCTGGTTTTACGTTAGCCAAGTATGTCCGGAATCCTGTGAGATCACGTGTGACCTTGAGTTCCCACGAGAGGTTGAATTCTTGGGGAAATCCTGCAAAATAGATAAGCTTATTCAGGTATGAGATTTTGCAAAATGAAAGGGTTTAAATACCAAATAGATTGCATATTCCATCATCAGTTGCTTCAAGATTGTCTTGCACAAAAGACTGTTGTTTCTTGATTTACTGTTCATCAAATTCTTGTGTTTTTGAATGAATGAACAGAAAACTTTATTTGCCACTTTTCAGCGTTCACAAGGTACAACCAAAACTCCTGCATCCAAACCCCCTCCCCACGCAACCCAACTCCCCTAAAATACATTCAATCACTTCAAAGCATGAAGAAAAGCATTCTCATGTTTTATCCTAAATATACCTTACACTAGGGTGTCAAGCACCCTGGCCACAGCCTGGCTGATTGTTGTTTGAATTTATTTCAAATCTTAGAATAAAAATATTTCAAAATCTGTTCCTAACAGTATTGAAAGCCTTGAATAAATGCATGCATGAGCCAGAGGAAAATTTGAGGAGGAAAAAAAGAAAATAAAACGATTCACTCTGAGTCCTTCTGAAAAATTGAAAGTATGTGTATTTTTCCATATTTTGAGAGAACCAGGGTTTGGCTTCTTTTAAAAGAATTCAATTATAAATTACCAAATTATTGTATTTTTGAGAGTAAAAAAACATGGCTCCATCATCAATTTCAAATTGTTACAAAGGAAAAATTAATTGCAGATGTTGCTTGCATACCTTCAAGAAAATGTCAAAAAATGAAGGGTTTTACTGGAATTAAGCTGAAAATATCCCAAGCATACACTGTACAGAGACCCCCAGACAATTTGGCATGGGGAACCTTTCTTTCCAATTGAAAAAGGCCCAACATTCAGACACTGACTTATCCTGTGGACATTGAAATTTTAGGGAAATGGACTTGTTCAGGCAAAATTACAAGAAACAGATAGTCATAAGAACCATAGGATTGTAAGATCTATGCAAAAAAATTGTTTTCAAGTTCTTTCATCATTTTCCCATCCATTTAGCTCATTCAAAAATTACCTCAAGCATAGAGGTTCTCAAGAGAGAAAGAGGATTTCTAGTTTCTCTCTTTTTGATTAGTTTATTTTTACAGGAAATGATAAAATCTGAATGTTCAATACCGTATAGAGGTACAGCATTCTTACCTGGGTATTTTTTCCTGTATGTTCCTCAAGACACTGTTTGAAAACATTATTCTCAACTTTTTGCTCAACAAAGTGCTAATTTTTTATAGGTTCATTTCAAGAAGACTGGATTTTAAAAATGGAAAGTGTCACCTATAAGAAGACAAAAACATCTGAAGTAATCAGGAAATGGGCCAACTGTGGAATGAAAAAAAAAATGTATCAGAAAGATGCCACAGCTGGAGAGGAAAGGAAGAGAGGACAATTGATGAATTGATGGATCTTAGCATTCAGCAGTATAGCAAAAAAATTGTGCATTGTGTGAATGTTTCATGTCCCCACTGCTCCAGATGTCATTCAAGAGTTGGAAAACACTGATTGAATCATTTTCGATCAGCAGAATTTTTTTACTCATTTTCTACAAGAACTTTGTATCAATTTTTCTTTCATGAAACACCAACTAAAAATTTTATAATGTAAGTTTATGGTATTACCAGACTGGACTTGGGGACATTTTGACTTAGAAACACTCTTGATGCACCAATTATGTCTGCATCTGGGGTCTCACTGCATACCACAGCAATAAGCAGGAACCTATAAACATTTCAGGTCATACCCTAAGGGCAAATGAGGTTTTGAAAAGCAGTGGGTTTAGAAAATTATGTTTTTCTCAGCTTTTGTGGGCTTCATGCCATTCCTGTCATCAAACTCTATATATATATATATATATATATTTTCTCCTGCTTCTCCTTAACATGATGATATGAAACACCTTATTTGGGAAGTGGATGAAAGCTTGGTTGGGATATAGCATCAAATTTTCACATTGCACACAGGCTATACTTATTTACAGGAAATTCGTGCCTGATCATTTCCCTCAACAAACCAGCAAGAAACAGGTTTCCTGGCATGTGTTCATGCATGTTCTAGGCTTGTCTTATCACACACAGAGTTGCCACCCTCATTTTTTTTAAATCTGAGCCTAATTTCTTAAGGTGTAAAATAAGGGATTTAGGGAAAGATTTTTTAATGAGGTCTCCAATTGCAGCTAATTTACAAGAATATTACAGTTAAATCTGGTATAACAAAGTCATTGGACCAGTAAAATATCTTTGCTGTACTGTACTGTATAGTAAGAAATTCTGCTCAAATTCTGCTCTTTCAACATTGAGGATATTAAAAATGAGCTGAGACCTGAAGGACTTAGTTTTAATTGATTAATTTTGATGGTAGCTACAGATTCTATTGTCTGTAAATATTTAAAAGAGGACAACAATATTTTGTTTTTTTCCTTGAATCATCCCAAGAACAACTATAATGTATATATGCATGATATGGGTTAATTTTTGAAAATTAAAATTCATCATCTTCTGATTCAATTTTTCATGTTATGAAATAAGCAAGCAAAAATTGTGATGGACTCATTTCCCTAAATTCTCAGCAGAAGAATTTCACAAAAAAAATTGAAAGATCAAAAACAAGAAAATAACTAAATTTATTGAACCTTCTTATTCCTGATTAGGGTTTCCAACAAATTTTAAAAATCTTACTGGGAAATTTTAGTCAAGAATAAGTTGATTAAAATTCAGTTGCTTTCACTCAGCAAATAAAATAAAAAATGCCCCTATTAAATCCAAAAAAACAGGCCATGTATCATGAGTCCATGCCCAAAAATTAAATACTATGTCTAGTGTATTTGATTTTTTCATTATTTATTTCTTGAGACTCATTCTCAGATATTCTAAAAAAAATGTACTTACAGGCTTTTCAATTAAAACTAGCGCAGTCAATTCTTTTTAATATTGGTCTCGCCCTGTTTTTCATCCGCACATCAGAAAATTAAATCCCTAAAAATTTAAAGAGGCAGGAGTATAAAAATTCCATTTATTTTGAATGATGCATATTTTTGCAATAATTAATGTTGAAACATAAAATTCGTTTCGCGATACCACTAAAAATAAATAAAGCCTTCATTGCAACACGTACCTTCAGGAAATAAGCGAGTTTACTTTCATCTCTTTCCGCTTGGCAACACTGAGAATGAGAAAAATTCCTGCTGGGCAAATAGTTTGAACACGCGCTCAGCCCATCACCACCACCGGAATATTTTCTCCACCGACTTTCAAACATTTTTTGATTGATCGAGTCAATTCAAAAAGTCTATCCCTCTTTTTTTTTCTTCTTGTATATAACCGTGGAAAACTAAATCGTGCATTTATTGCCAGAGGAGGGAGGAGAGAAGAGAAAAAAAATAACATTTTTTGATTGATCGAGTCAATTCAAAAAGTCTATCCCTCTTTTTTTTTCTTCTTGTATATAACCGTGGAAAACTAAATCGTGCATTTATTGCCAGAGGAGGGAGGAGAGAAGAGAAAAAAAAATAGAAAAAAGAGAGAGAGAAACAAACATGTGCAGTACAACAATAATATCTTGAGACGGATTGAAAAATAAATAAAAAATACGCCATATTTCTCAATTGAAATTCGGAGACCGAGTTGACACTTCAGGGATCCCATACTTTTCTACTGTAGGCGGTTTGGACACCAGTGCTTCGTCGATATCCAGGCGCTGTACAAAAGCCACATGCGGGAAAAGGTCGCCGACGGTACGGGGTGCTTTGTAGTCCAATTGCATGTTGTGCTCCAGACTCCGTATTGAGTCGCAGAGCGCCATCGCCTTGTACAAAGCCGTCTTTGCGCGCCTGCGGTTTATAAAGTTTGTGTATAGGTGTCGCTCTCGGCGCACGCGCATCAAAACCGTTAAAAAGAGGCTTACAGTGATTAATCCATCGATTTTCTTTCAACAAATGCCAACAAATAGAGCTTGAGACAATAGGCATAGTTTATATTATAATCCAGTCTGGAAAGCTTATATTTGAAAGATTAATGACAAATCAGGAAAATAACTGACCTGTCCCACGTGACGCGGAAACGCCTTGCGCCCATTTCAACCCCTCTTTGCTGTTGTGGGATCATGTGTTCGAAATTGAACCTGTCATCCTTCATAAAGTCTTTGAATCCATGGTCATTTACATCCAGACCAGCACCACCTAGTTTATTTTTCTTTGGGAACTTGAACCAGGGATGCAAGTGCCTATAAGATTTGTATCAATATACAATAAGATGGTGGGTTGATTGAATTGATGTTTTTTTTGGTTGAGCAAAAACAAACCTGTATTTCATGAAGTGGATGAGCTTTTTGGCCTCACAGAAGTTGACCCCATGGCCCAGCTGAGGCTCAAAAGTGGGTTCCATAGCAGGATTAGTTTCAGTTATGGAAGTACCATCAAGGTTAGAATAGAAGAGCCTGAGGAAGTCATAGGAGTCTGTGGATGGTTCCATGAGCTCAAGCATGTGAGTGATGGCAGTGTCTCCATCTGGTGAGGCTCTCAGGTGGCCAGATAACACTTGGATGACTTCTTGAAGGTACTTTTTCTTTTGCCAGGAACAAACTAATCTCCTTCCCTGTTTTACATAAGACCAAAAATAACCTTTGGTATAGGGTGTTACATGGATGTACTGTACATGGGTCAACTCACAAGTTCTACAATTTTTGGTATGTTTCTCTCCAAGGTTCTCACTCTATCCAACTCAACCCCCAACAAATGCTCAGCTCTTTGCACTTCCAGTCTCAGGTCCCTTGACATGATCAGGGCAGGGTCCTTCATTTGAGTAAAAATGGAGTCATTCCAGCACTTTATCCACACAAAAAAACCTAACAGGATTTGTTAGCTCACACAAATAAATTGTTCCTTGAGATGTTTCTGCAGTCTCATCCCTCTCAGCAGAACTGACTTCTTGTCAAGCTTCCTTCTCTCCACCTCCTCATCCACATACTCTTTTGCCCAGATATTCAATACCTGAGCAATGAAAAAAAACTATATGATTATGTGAAGGGCCAATTTATGTAGAATGAACATATACAGTTTTGTAGGCCACTATTTGGTATGCATAAGGCTCTGACTCCAGTTGAATGGTGGGGCCTTCTGGGAAAGCTGTCCTGTTCTTGGCTCTTGCCCTGCTGGTCATCACCTCATCCACACCACAACAGTCATGCATGGTTTGGATCTCAAATATGTCCTCTTTGATGTAAACAATTTCATCCTGGGACATAAAGTTAAAGTTGAGACAGTGCTGTTAGGTTTATGACCCACCACAGCAACTACAGTATCAAATTTTTTTTTTAATATTGAGTGGCATTATCAAGTAGTAGAGTGTCTGCAGTGAGGACAAAAAAACGAAAAAAATTAAAAAACGATTGCAGAAGTGGGATTCAAACCCACGCCTGCAGAACCACACTGTGACCTGAATGCAGTGCCTTAGACCGCTTGGCCATCCGGACAACTTAATGTAACTTGATGCATTTTCAAGTAGGCAAATTAATTCAAGGTGCAAAAGGCCATAGACACACGTCACACAACGTCCTTATTATTCCCCCCCAGACCCCTGTAGGATCCTACTGGTCGTTCCTCCCCCTGCGGACGTTAAGCAGAAATTCTGTATGAATGTGCTTTGCATAAAATATTATAAGCATAAGTTAATACAGTAAAATCTTTTAACAGCAAGCTTTTTGGGGACTTCAGAAAAAGTTTGTCACGCGTGATAATGGTTAGTTATGACGAGTAAAAATTAATGAATGAAAAATTTTAACATCAGACCTGCCTATAATCCATTAGATCTTGTTTCTCTGGCATTCTCATATTTTTTACAAAAAATTGGCTTCAATCATGAATTCCATCAGTTGCACCAGTCTCTTCATTTTCGGAGGATGATGCGTGAAACCATTTGGAAGCATCTAATGTCGTGAATTACTGCTTCCACCCATGCTTAAGAACTAGTCAGTCACATTCGGAATTGGGAATTCCAGACTGTACCTGCCTTAGTCACGAAATTTATACAAGGATAATCGATCAAAAAAACCTCCAGATAGTGTGTTATACTGGCATTGGGGAGCTTGTTATAACAAGATTGTTACAATTCTTACTCCATCGGCTCTCTTCCAGACATGAGAACAAGTTTCAAGTAACAAGCGCTTACTGTACTTTAGTTGGATCCATGAGTAAAACTTGGTATTACCCAGATGGTATAGAACCACTATCAGGTTCAAGAAGATCTAGAAAACATATCTGGAAAATTGCTCTCGGTAAGATCTATAAAAAAGGTGAAAAGCCCTTTCCAGTTGCAGTATTTGCTTAGCGGTCTGTTTCCCTGGCGAAGACCAACAATGGGCCGATCCCGGCGGGATCAATTCTTCGACTCGCGATCACAGACGTCACCATCTGGGACCTTTTCCGAGGGCAAATAACATTTCGGCCATTCGTTTCCTCAAGGTCTACGCCGTAAAAGTTCGGAACGTGTGCCGACAGGATTCTGCGTTCAACATTCAAAACGGCGCCTTCTCAAAATAACACGTGCCAAAAGCAGCGTGTCAAACAGCACATAACCAGTAAAGTATAAAAGACAATAACCCTGAAATAATCGACGAGAGACACTTTATTTCTCAACGTCATCCAATGATTATTTTTTTCAGGCCAAGTTAGTCTTGAAAAAACGGAACACATTAATGCGTGAAGTTTTATTTTATTTTATTTTTTACCGTCTATCCCTAAATTGGTTGCAATTTTCTTAGCTAATTGCGAGCTTGATTTGATTTCCACAGAACCTTGCTTTAAAATGTTGTTTAAAAATCCGCTCTTCGGGAAACGTAATATTCGAACGCAGTACTTGGGCGCGTAAATATCGGGTATATTTTAAGAAAACTATTCCTGAGACGAAGAAAATTTTCAACGTTTGAAAGAAAACGTTAGCTCACGTTTTATTTTCTAGAGTAGAGTGAAGTTCCGTTAAGTCCTTTAAAAAGTGCAATTACTTGATGGACTTCAAAGCTCCTTACTCCAGCAGAGTACTCTCCCACTTTAAATGATTTCACATCAAGGAAATGGGGGTAAGACTTAAATCCCTTTCCTGTACGCCCAGGGAATCTCCAAAAAACCATGCACTGTTGTATTTTTTATTTCCGAATCTTTTTCTATAAGAATAAAGAGCTTTGCATATTCGTTTCATCTAGAAAAACTCAGTTTCGTCTTTTATTTGCATGTCTGATGACGAACGCTAATAATATTTCCAAGGATAACATATCGTTTTCCCTTCCATTTTCTTTCTTATGCTGTCAAGATTTCAGTTGCCTGAATCATATGTCCAACTAAAACTTACCCCCAAAAATCGGAAATGAAGTAAAGTAGTCCACTTCAACTAGTTCTACTGATAAAATGAAATGACCTGACATATTCCAAATGAAACCATATGAAAACAGATTCAAGTGACATCTAGGCAGCAGCACAAATTCAATGGTTCAGGGACGTTTGACGAGGTGATGAATAGAACATAGAAGTTATGATTGGTGACACACGATATATACGCATATGGCAAATGGGATTTACAGCACTGAAACAGCTCTAACCCCATAAGCTTTCGAAAACAATGAAAGAAGACGACATTCACTGCGTTTCCGTTCCAGTTGTTGTTTTCTGGGTCCGACAAGTACGCATTTACTCATAAGCATGACGGACGCAAGCGACGTTTTCTTTACTCCCGGGATCTCGACACGAAATTGGTCCAATCACGTCGCGTCCGCGACAGCACGACACTACCGGAAGGAAGAAGCTTCCGAGGACAAGATGAATGCCAACTTGCCACGGAATCAGCGCATCCCGTGGAATCCTCTCACAGTTCCGGGGAACAATCGGCGTCAAGCTGTCGGACGTACGGAAGCAGGAAGCGAAGGGGTTGCTTCTTCCTGTGCGACCTGATGCCTCTACAGCATGCGAGTTCGGACATGCATTTTAAAGCGCAGGAAACAGATGCTGGTTTCCCGCGTGGGTTCTTCATTTCCTGCGGAACGGGAATTACCTTAGCCTGCTTTGAACACCTACGTTTTCTTTTTTTTTTTGCATCGTGGGAGTGATGCCATTTGTGGGAGTGATGCTCTTCGTTTCGGATTCAGTATCATGATTACAACGACTTCATTCACGAAGACATGTAATCAAAATTAAAACTTCATGCTTGAAACCTCAGATGGCAGGGTATAAGACGCAACTTTTTCTTTGAATTTAGCAGAATGATTTAATTTTGCAGATCTTGCGCTTCTTCAAAGCATAAGGGCACCTCAGCCACTTCATCAAGACGATGGACTAAAAAAAACGGACTAAGAGGATTACCTGCCAACTTGGATAACAGCAACAACTTTCAACTTGCACACCTTTTTTTTAAAAACTTTTTTGCACATAATTTTTCTATTCATTCTTCGCAGATTGTTCCTTGTCTGGAAGAATTATGAATAATGTATTTTATATCCTCTGAAAAGATGGTATTTTAAATCATCTGAATGGTATTCAGAGGAGGTGTGAACCGTTGGATTTTTAAAATTAAAAACAATAAGGATTTTGAAAGTGAATATCTTGAAACCACTTTCATGTGAATTGAAGCAGAAGGGCTCCTCATGTATTTCCGTTCCAATTATCTTTTTTTTTAATACCCCCATCTTTCTTTTTTTTATTTAAATCAAGATGCAATCGAAATGGCGTATACTGTACTGTACAAACAAAAAATGACCCTTCTTACGCCTCGTGGAACCAATACTTTAAAATCCCTTCGTGCTCGCAGTTGACTATCAAATTCTTCTGTTTTATCAAGTTTTTACACATGTGAATCGATGTTTGATTTGTTGGATGCGCCAAAACCTGAAAAAATTAGGCCTGTTATTTATAGCGATGCTACAGCTGATGTCTGGAAAACGTGGGCAAAAATCAGAAGTGTGCCCTTCGGATTTAGTCGGAGAATCGCGAAAATTCGGTCACGACCACTGTATATTGTTTCCCCTGAATGACAACGTGCACGGAATTCGGCCAACCGAATAATGTAATGCCATACCCGTCAAACGGAGAGATGGGAAAAGCAAGGTGAGGTCGGGTACATAATAAAGGGCCACGTTTGTCCGACAGTTAGCCGTGCATGTCGTGCATACTCGTATATCCCCTAACTCAGTGGTCTGCAACCCATGGTCCACACAAGTTCTTTGCTGGTCCAAAAGAAATGTTTTTCTGCATGAAAAATTCATCAAAAGTAGTAATGAAGTCAAAAATAAATAAAAATCTGAATTTTTGGAAAGCCAATGGCCATTGAAATTGTCTGATGAAACCCAAAAGTTGGCCTTACTTTGAAAAATACTTCTGAAAAATTTTCACCGGCTGAAATAAATTATTCAAAGTACTGTACATTTGAGCCTCATTGACCCGACCTAAGCCAAATACCTCCTTAAGTTGATTTTTTTCAAGTCCCCTCTCAATGTCCTTGGAAAAATAATGCAGTAAACACCTCTCTGTCTAAAATGATTTCCCTCTCAAAGCTATAAAGCTCCTACTTTCCAACACCTTTTGGCTATTATTTTCTTGATGTGGGAAAGATAAATCCAATACAAATTAACAACGCATTTTGTAAGTGAGAAGTTATTTTTCAGGTAAATGAACCCCTGCCTTCAAGATCAGCTTCCTGTCAGCTTATTTGCTTACAGGAACTAATTTAAGGCCCAGAATATCACCATTGACAATTGCCTGCAATTTTTCTATATCTCCCCAAGAAACGATTCTTTCCCTAATTCAAAGCTTCCTAGCTTGAAACCTCCCTAAGCTGAATTTTTTGGCAGGTCCCTTGAAATTTGACTTAGACAGGTTGACCGTATTCATTCTGATGAACCTCTCTCAAAACCCAGCTTCCCATTTCGGAAGATATTCCAGCTTCAATGTTTCTTAACCCTTGGGCAGAGCTGCTGGGATTTAAATGTACAATGGTTTTCCACAGGTGAAAGAAAAAATGAACAACTTGGCATGAACAGAAGAGCCGAAGTCCAAAAAATCCCGATATTTTTTTCATTCCTGCAGAAATTTTTTGACTCAATGCTGGATGGCATTTTTTTGCATCCCTGCCAAGGGAGTAGCATTGGGGGATTTTGAAAACAATGCTTTTCACTCTCCTGGTTTTTTCTAGACTTCGGCTTCTCGGTCAAATCTGCATTTTGGTGAGCTTAGGTCCAACCCAAACTCACAAGGA